CTATGTTCTGGAACAGCTTAAGTAGTTCTGGTGTCTGCTCTTTCCTGAACATTTGACAGAGTTCTCCAGTGAAGCCATCTGGGCCAGGACTGTTTTTGTGTGAAGGTTTTTTTTTTTTTTTTTTTTTTAATGACCTGCTCAATTCCTTACTTTGTTATGGTTCTGTTCAAATTTTCTACCTCTGTCCATGCTACCGTGCTAGCTTAGGTTGGTCTTATGTTTCTTGGAATTAGTCCATTTCTTCTAGGTTCTCAAATTTGTGGGGATACAGTACTCTATAGTATTATGTTATTTTCATTTTTATTTCAGTTGGTTCTATTGTGATATTGCCCATTTGAATTGTTATTCATGTTATTTGTATCTTCCCCCTCTTTTCCTTAGCTAAATTTGCCAGTGGTTTGTCAATTTTGTTAATCTTTTTGAAGAACCACTCTCTAGCCATGTTGATTTTCTCTATTGTTTTTCTGTTTCATTTATTTCTGCTCTGATCTTTATTATTTCCTTTCTTCTGGAGACAGAAGCCTTCATTTGTTGAGTTAAATTTTTCTGATTGTTGCTCTAAATTGTTGATTTTGGTTCTTCCTTCTTTTTTGATGTGTGCATTAATTGCTATAAATTGACCTCTGAATACTGCTTTTGCTATGTCCCTGAAGTTTTGTTATGATGTATTTTCATTCTCATTTATTTCCAGGATTTTTTTTTTTTTAATTTTACACTTTATTTTATGTGATACCCAGTCGTTCCTTGAGCAGAGTGTTATTCAGCTTCCATATGCTTGATTTTTACCCCTAGTCTTCCTATTGTTGGTTTCTAATTTTATAGCTTTGTGATCTGAAAAGAGCCTTTGGAGAGTTTTGATAGTTTTAAGTTTATTGTTCTTTTTGACAGTGAATGCAAAAACATTCCTCTTCAATTTTTCATTCCCAGCATAGTTTACCATATGATTGTCCAACTCAAGATGGCCAAAAGCAGTACATTTCAAATTGTTAATACCTAGTATATCTATCTTCAAGTGTTCCTTTTCATTTTTAACAATATCCAATTTTCTTAGTTCCATACTTTGTATAGTCCACATTCTGATTATTAATAGTTGTTTGCAACTTTTTATTTTGTGTTATGCCACATCAGCAAATGAAGTTTCCCAAAGCTGTCCTCCATCAACGCCATTAAGTTGGAGTTACTCTGAAGTACAACACTGTCAGTGATAGGGTTATATCTACACATGTAATAGGAAGACCAGTTAATACAAGTTTATTACAAATGGATTCACCAACCACTAATGCCAAAGATAGAGAGGTGGCAGCTCTTGCCCAGCCATATTTTCAACATGAGGGTGTCATTTTCTGGCACTATATCATATAGTGCTCCACTGCTATTCATAAGATTTTCACTGTACAGTTGCTAAAAGGACAAGGAGGCCACATGTTCTGACCTCCTCTAATGCCACAAGAGGAAGACAGAATCACCATCAACAGCCCAAGGCCTATTACTGCAAGGCCAGACATGCTGCCTCCATCCAGCCCTTTCACCAACCATTCCTTCCAAAGCACCCACCACCTCTCTCCTGGGTTCAATAATTCACTGCAGTGGCCATACGGAACTCAAAGACTGTGGGGTTTCTTAGGGAAGCACCACAGGCTACAATTCAAGTTCAGGAAAAATGCTCAGTCTCTCTCCCAGCACACAGTTTCTCTCCCAACAGTGAGTATCCCTCAGTGTCTCACTCAGCAATGCATGTCTCTTGCATCTCTTTCCCAGCAGTGTGTGTCTCTTTCAGGAGGGCGTGTCTCTTTCCACAGCATGTCTTCCTCAACCAACAGTCAGAGTTCTGCCTCTAGGAGGCCTCCTTTTGAGCCTGGCAGAGTGGCCAAACTAGCCAATCATAGCATCAGAACTCTAAGCACCTGAGAGAGAGTGGGAACCTCCCAGAACATTGTTTTGTGCCACTCCCAACAGAAATACTCCAGGTGGGCAACTTTAGCAATCAGGAGCTCCTCAGTTGCTCATAGCAAATCCCACCTTGGAGTTTACAAAGACTTATGGGTAGAAAAGCCACACTAAGTCGTTTACTACACTGCAACAGTATTTTTAGAATTAGATGATTGTCAGGTACTTCTTCCTAATTTGTTTTAGTCTGAAACTTGCTAAAATTTTTCAGCATAGGTGACCCTGTTGGTATTTGAAATACCAGTGGCATAGCTTCCAGCATCACAGCAATGTGCAAGTCATTATCATTCAACAAACTGACAGAAAAGTGGTTAGAAAAAATAATAAATTATATATATATATATAAGGAGTGGTCGCTGTGAGTCGGGTAAGACTCAACGGCACATAACAACAACAATATATGAATAAAACTTTTTACATATGTGTATATTATATACATAAAACTATATGTATATAATATACACACATATATACATATACATGTATATGTATATATGTGTGTTTATATGTATGTATACATGTATGTATGTATGTATATGTAGCTAGCTAGTTATCTATATACAGATATCTCTATAGATATCAGAAGACAGGCCTGGTGATCTGTTTATAAAAGGTCAAAGCCTTGAAAACTATGCAGTAAATATCTACTCTGCACTTACAAAGTCACCATAAGTCAGATCTGACTTACAGTCAACTGTTTTGATTTTATAGATATAGATATGCATATACATATTGTTATATCTATATATCCCTGGTAGTGCAATGGATAAATGCTCTAGTGAGAGCTGAAAGGTCAAGGTTTGAACCTACCAGATATTCCATAGAAGAAAAAGCCTAGTGATCTGCTCCAAGAAAAATTATAGCCTAGGACATCTTATGGGAGCTCTGGTGGTATAGTACCTAAGCATTTGACTGCTAATCAGAAGGATGGTGGTTCAAAGCCACTTTTCGGAAGGAAGTATGGACAATCTACTTCTATAGAGATACTGCCTTGGAAACCCAAGGAGAGGTCACTATGAGTCGTACCCAACTCAACGGCAGTGAGTTTGGTTTTCTTTTTTGGAGAAATCCTATAGAGATCACTATGAGTTAGAATTGATTGACAGTACGTAACAAATACACATACACATACACATACACCCTTATGTATATGACATAGTTTTGAAATTACTCTATGGTTAAAAGTTTAATATACAACTAAAGTAAACTGAACTCTTTTTAACATGGCTGTCAAACTTTCACACCAAGGCTCCTGGTTCCTTTACCATCCCATCTCCAGCTTCCTCTTGTGATTCACTCTATTCACTTCTGACCATCCCCTGGCTTTCAGCTTCATTTTTCATCTCCTACAGGACAAAAGTTAAATACTTTCTGTGTAACTCTTTTATGATTTCAAAGGTGAAATCACCTTTGTGGAATTAAGTGTCCTGCATCTGAGTTTCTTGAGAAAATTATTCATGCCTCTCTTATATTGATAGTCTAGCACTTTGGATGGGGATTTTATCATTTATAATATTTATATACCATATAGTATATACTTTTATTATAATGTGCTCTGTAGCATTGTGGGTAGGGCATTTGGATACTAGCCAGAATGTCAACAGTTCAAACCTACCAGCTGGCTCTGTGGGAGGAAGATGAGGCAATCTACTTACATAAAGATTTGCAGGCTTGGAAACCCAATGATAGTAGCTATGAGTCAAAATTGAGTTGATGACTGCTTTTTTTTTTCTTTTTTAATCTTTTATTAAAAGATGTATAATTTTACTTATCCATTTCATCCGATAAACATTGAATTCCTTCAAGGTCAGTTTTGTAATACTTCGTAGCACTCAACCTAGAGCCTGATGTCTAGAGGCTTACTAAAGGTGATTCAAAAAAGAACCCTATTGGTGCACTGGGTAGGCACTCATCTGCTAACTGAAAGGCTTAAAGTTCAAGCCCACCATCTAATCTATGGTATGGATATGTGTTAGTCTGCTTCCATAAAGATTTATATCCTTGGAAACCCTACTGTCCTATGGGATCTCTGTTAGTTTGAATGGACTTGAAGGCAATAGGTTTTGGTTTGCCTTATTGTTTAGGATAGAATGAAATAAAATACAGATAAGGAGGGAAGGAAAGAGGGAGGAGAGAGAAGCAAATAGAGACAAAAAAAGACAGAGAAAGAAATTGAAAGTATTAAGACAGCCACTAAATGGGGTCATGCAAGCATTTTTGAGGAAGGTCTTAGTAAAATAAGAATTTTGTTGGAATTAGCATAAAATGAGTAGTATCACATACAGCAGTATAAGCAAATAATGGTTGTACTTTATTTTCAACAGTATTTTATACTTACTAATAACTAGAAATCATATTTACAACTTTGTATAGGTTTTTAAACAGCCTTGCAGTGTTCCAAGTGTATTTGTCTTCCATTTTTTAATAAAAGACTCAATAAATTAATGTAAACCTATATGAAGGCAAATATGAATGAAATTTGTTTACAGTTTGTGCAAATTTGTTCAGTCTCTTTGAGAGGAATTATCTCTCTGCATCTAAGGAAATAGAAAGGTTAGGTAGAAATAATGAAGGAGAGATTATAGTAATACTTTACACTGCAATATTTTTCCTTTTCCTCCCTTTTATATTTCAGGTACAATAACTTTAATTAAAGCAATCTGTGTAAATTTGTTCAGGAGAGAAAGCGGAAAATGTTAAGTGACTTTTGGGATTCCTATTTTATTGTCTTTGTGGACTTAATGAAAAAATGTACTTCAGACTTTCCACATAATGTAATGAAACACTTTATTAATAGGATGTAACATTTGTATTATATATTAAAAAAGTCTTCTGTGACTGGAAAGTAACTCTCTTAATGTGCTTAAAATTAGTAGCAATCTATTTAACTTTATTGGGTGGCTGTCTATTGGCATTTATCTCATAAATATACACACATACACACACTACTTTAATATTTCAGTTGGTGCAAATACTATGTTGAAACAACTGCCTTAACGAAGTATGTTGTCATTTAAAATCTCTTAACACTTGCCACTCTTGCAACCCTGCAGCTGACCAAACAGGAATATTGTTCATAGGAGATGCAGTTATGCAGGTCAGTATTTCAATTATTAATATTTATTGTTTGTGTTTTATTTTTAAACTTACATTAATCAATTATTACCCTCAAAATTCTTAATTTGTCATCTATTCAGGTTAATGGCATTAATGTAGAAAATGCAACTCATGAAGAAGTGGTAAGTATGTTATATTTTATAGTTTTGTTCTGTTCCAAATATTCTTTCATAAAAATTATTTTCTTTTCTAAATTTATTTGTCACTGAGGACATTCATATATACCAATTTAGAATTGGAAGGAACAGTTTATATGGTTTAGTAAATCATTTTAAAAAATTACCTTTATGAAATGCCTATTGTGTGTCATGTACTGTGCTTGGTACTTTACAAACATTGTGGAAATGGATCTTCACAAATACTGTATAAGGTAAATTTTATTATGCTTATTTTAAATATGAGGCAATTGAAATTCAGGAAGTATTCAAGTCCATTTAGATTATCTAGATGATTGATGGCAGTGGTAAAAATAGAATGTCAGAAGTTTCTATAGTCTCTTCAATACTACCTAGAATTTCAATGACATGATAGCATTAATAACTGTGGTATACACTGGCTTAAACTAAGAAGTTTTGTGTATGAGACATATAACTTGGAGGATGTGATATGGTATACACATCTGATTATTATATAAGATGATAATATGTCAAAATTTGATTCAAAAGGCATTCACCCCATCATCCCTTTCATGAATATGCACTTTTTTCAAGTGCTATGTCATGTTCAGGCTCTAGTGACAAAAATACAGATATCAATAAAACCTCCAGCCTTGGTTAATTAATTGTGATAATTGAAATAGAGAAACCCTACAATATCAGAGTTGGGTGTCATATAAACACAGCAGTAAAAGATAGTGGAAACACAAAGAGTAACCAGCTTTGCCTATAGACTGGGACAGAGGGACAAAGCTGGAAATGATTGTTAAGCTGGATCTTGGAGAATGAGGTATAGAAAGAAATGGAAGTCCAGGCAAAGAAATAGTACGTGTTGAGACATGAATATGGAGAATGGTGTGGAATACCAGGGAAATGAGGTGGGGTAGTACAGGTATAATACTGGAGAGGTAGGCATGGAACAAAAATGCACTTTCTTTTAGAGATCTTAACAAAGTGTTTTAGTCTGTGTTGCAGCAAAATTAAAGCACACTTTTCATTTGTTAACATCTTCTATGAAGATTGATTTGTATTCATGCTTGTACACATTCATTAATTACTGTTTTTTTCAATAAACTTGTTTTGAGTTCCACATAAAGGATGACAATCAGAAGTGCCAAAATATCATCATATATTAATAACATTAAATTTTCATTAAGCTAGTACATCATATATGTAGAAGTTTGTTATTAAATGAAGGTTACTTCATATGTGGTATTACTTTATTCATTTGTATCTTCATTAAAGATATGCATAGTGATCTTTTAATATGTGCCAAACATAGGAAAAAGATTTACAAATGGAATAAACGTATTCCTTTGTCCACAAGCAACTTCCAGTTTTAGATTTATCTTCCAATACATAAAGTGTTCTCATGTGTCCACTTTCTGAACTTTGCAATATTTATGTTTGTTTTCTAATTTATGCAGTAATTTGCTTTCTTAAGGTGCAAAACCATGTAATAATTGAAAGGGAATCACTGCACACTTTAATAACTTCCAAAGTAAAGTAAACTCATTGAAAAAACAGTTTGTTTTTTCAATAAATGATGTGTCAATCTTGAAGGTGGAACTATTCCAATATTTGCTTAATGCAAATATTCTTTTTGAACCAAATCATCAAATTACATGTCCACAGTATTATGTGACTGTACAAATAAATGATTGGAGAACTGTTCATGAGACATGTAATCTCAATTTTTCAGACTCATAAAGTTCACAAAAAAAGTTATTTTGTAAAAATAAAAGATGTGGCTTTACCCCTTTATTTTTCACAACAAATTCTAACTTCACTTAGCTTTAAAGGAAAATGTCAGCTCTGTTCAATATAAAGCATACTTTTTAATATAAAAATTAATTTCAACACTAACATCCACCAAATGAGTCTTAGACAACTACATATTGTACACTGATTTCAGATTTTATTGTCAGGGCAATAAAAGTATCTGGTTATGTTCCCCTTTTTCAATAAATCAGTTTACTTTTGTCCATATTGATATATAATAGTACATGAGCTATGGAAGCTAGTAAATTATCCTTAAGTGTTCTGGGCAGATTCTGATATATGTCACCATTGAGAGAAAAAGGGAAATTTCATCACTCAGTTTGACATAAACGCAGGGAAACTTAAGATGCATAATCAGGAAGTGACTGAGGAAGGTGCTGGTATCCCATTAGATGATCACTGCACTGGGTTGGTGAAGTGTGGAGCCAATCTGGCTTCTCACAGTGAAACAAACAAAAAAAAAA